CGGACGACGGACGGACGACGACGGACGGACGGAACGGACGGACGGACGGACGGACGTAGGACGCCGACGGACGGACGGACTGAGGACGGACGGACGGACGGACGGACGGACGGACGACGGACGGACGGACGGACGGACGGACTGACGGACGGGACGGACGGACGGACGGACGGACGGACGGACGGACTGGACGGACGAGACGGAACGGACGGACGGACGGACGGACGACGACGGACGGACGGACGACGGACGGACGGACGGACGGGACGGACGGACGGAGACGGACGGACGGACGGACGACGGACGGACGGACGGACTGACGGACGGACGGACGGACGGACGGACGTGACGGACGGACGGACGGACGGACGGACGGACGTACGGACTGACGGACGTACGGACGGACGGACGGACGGACGGACGTACGGACTGACGACGGACGGGACGGACTTACTTACTGACGGACGGACGGACGGACGGACGGACGACGGACGGACTACTTACTTACTTACGGACTTACTTACTACGTACGCTTACTTACTATACTTACTACTACTTACTTACTACTACGGACTTACTTACTTACTTACTTACACTTACTTACTACTTACTTACTATACTTACTTACTTACTACTTACTTACTTACTTACTTACTACTTACTTACTTTTCAATTTTAAAGTACATTGAAGATGAAACGTTTTCTATCCGTTTGTGCGAAAACTTCCTCCACACATTGTATGTATGTAGAAACAATTAAAATCAATATTTAAATTGTATTTGATTTCATCAATCCAGCTTCCCATTTAGCATAAATTAAACATATTTGTATTTCAGATATTTAATACAATTCAATGCAAACATGTTTAATAAAGTTGTTGTCGCTGATCAAACTGATCATTCAGGCGATAAAGTTTAGATGCATCCAATTCTTCCATTGTGTTATTTGCTAAGCTTTAAATTCGAATAAAGTGCATCATCATTATGTGGGCATGTTTGTTTATACGAGAAACCTGGGTGTGAGTGAACAGTTTCTGGTATTTCGTGTTTTTTTCAATATTTTGTGTTAAAATGGTCTTTGATCTTTGATAAATTTATACACGTGATATACATAAAACTATTATTGATTTGGAACTTCGAAAATCTTTGCTGACCTAATTTTGAAATTAACATATGTTGTTGTTATTTGATATTAAAATTAGGCTTTTATCAATAATTAAAATTTAATGTTATTTAGCCACTGTTTATTGCCGAATTCTCATTTTAGTTGTCTATTTAAATATAAAAATTAAATGGTCGATAATGATTTTTAATATAATTTGTGGATGAAAATTTAAGTTAATAGCTGTAACCTTCCCGAGAATTTATGGACATGATAAATTCATTGCGACAACATAACTTGTCATTAGTTAATCAATGTAATTAAAATTCAATATCGAAAATGCGGCAACAATATTATTATTATTATGCTTTGTTTTTCTATAGAATGATCTAGAATTATATTAAAATTTCAAATTCATATTATTTGTCTTTATCATTTATAGTCATGTTCTATAAAGTGCAAATCCGATTTGTTGAAGAAAGAAAGTCTTATAGAATGTCTAAGGTCGAACATAAATCAATAATTATAATGTCTAGAACGCGGAAGGGAATATAACAAATCAAAAGCAGGAGCATTTTTGTCCTTAATATTCATGTTGATACTAAATTGGCTTCGAAAAAATTTGAAGACTCTAGCATATATATTTTCTCAAATATACTAATTTAATATTTTTTAATATGGGAGGTGGCACGCCTTGATTATTTTGATGAATATTGCAACCATCTTGGTGTTATTGAAATTCCAAAAAAAGGTGCTACCAATACCTCTAGCCTGCCGGGACTATGAACTGGTGATGATCAAATGTAACCTTGGCCTTTCCTTGGAATGATTTTTACATGCGGTCGAACCTGAGAACCCCATAATCTAGTACCGGTAGTCTCAAGTATTGAGGAGATCCCTTCGTGGTGACCACAGCACTGGCTTGAACCCAAATTCGCGAGAAGAGAATGTTGGTTAAAGGACTGATGCACGGTAAAGTCTATAATCCGGAATAAGTTCAGTGCTATTGCCGAGTCAAGAGATACCGCGCAGAGTGACTGTGGGACTAAATGTTGGAAATGAGTTGGTGTCAAGTGTATATTATACGGGACCTAGAGAGAATATGTCAGATGTATTCCTCAATGTGTGTGTCGGATGAATAAGTAGTGTGCTGGATTGAATGGTGGTGGATCTAAGGTATCTTATACAAGTGATAGCATTGAATTTTCAGATTTATCACAGTTTGTCCTCTTTGACTAAGAATAAGTCCTTAGCTTATTTGATGGATTGAACTGGTTGGAAATTAAGGCTAACAAGGCACGTTCACGTAAAGCACTTCGACTTCTTTTTGTCGCGAGGCTGCTCCTATGTGTGAATATATATGTCTGAGTTGTCCATACAAAATTTGAGGACTCTAACTGTTGCACTTTTGAGATATGCGAAAAAACAGAACTAGAACTGAATTAGAACTGAACTAGAAACAGAACTAGAACTGAACTAGAGCAGAACTAGAATTGAACTAGAACAGAACTAGAACAGAACTAGAACAGAACTAGAACAGAACTAGAACAGAACTAGAACAGAACTAGAACAGAACTAGAACAGAACTAGAACAGAACTAGAACAGAACTAGAACAGAACTAGAACAGAACTAGAACAGAACTAGAACAGAACTAGAACAGAACTAGAACAGAACTAGAACAGAACTAGAACAGAACTAGAACAGAACTAGAACAGAACTAGAACAGAACTAGAACAGAACTAGAACAGAACTAGAACAGAACTAGAACAGAACTAGAACAGAACTAGAACAGAACTAGAACAGAACTAGAACAGAACTAGAACAGAACTAGAACAGAACTAGAACAGAACTAGAACAGAACTAGAACAGAACTAGAACAGAACTAGAACAGAACTAGAACAGAACTAGAACAGAACTAGAACAGAACTAGAACAGAACTAGAACAGAACTAGAACAGAACTAGAACAGAACTAGACAGAACTAGAACAGAACTAGAACAGAACTAGAACAGAACTAGAACAGAACTAACAGAACTAGAACAGAACTAGAACAGAACTAGAACAGAACTAGAACAGAACTAGAACAGAACTAGAACAGAACTAGAACAGAACTAGAACAGAACTAGAACAGAACTAGAACAGAACTAGAACAGAACTAGAACAGAACTAGAACAGAACTAGAACAGAACTAGAACAGAACTAGAACAGAACTAGAACAGAACTAGAACAGAACTAGAACAGAACTAGAACAGAACTAGAACAGAACGAAACTAGAACGAACTAGAACAGAACTAGAACAGAACTAGAACAGAACTAGAACAGAACTAGAACAGAACTAGAACAGAACTGAACAGAACTAGAACAGAACTAGAACAGAACTAGAACAGAACTAAACAGAACTAGAACAGAACTAGAACAGAACTAGAACAGAACTAGAACAGAACTAGAACAGACTAGAACAGAACTAGAACAGAACTAGAACAGAACTAGAACAGAAACTAGAACAGAACTAGAACAGAACTAGAACAGAACTAGAACAGAACTAGAACAGAACTAGAACAGAACTAGAACAGAACTAGAACAGAACTAGAACAGAACTAGAACAGAACTAGAACAGAACTAGAACAGAACTAGAACTAGAACAGAACTAGAACTAGAACAGAACTAGAACAGAACTAGAACAGAACTAGAACAGAACTAGAACAGAACTAGAACAGAACTAGAACAGAATTAGAACAGAACTAGAACAGAACTAGAACAGAACTAGAACAGAACTAGAGCAGAAACTAGAACAGAACTAGAACAGAACTAGAACAGAACTAGAACAGAACTAGAACAGAACTAGAACAGAACTAGAACAGAACTAGAACAGAACTAGAACAGAACTAGAACAGAACTAGAACAGAACTAGAACAGAACTAGAACAGAACTAGAACAGAACTAGAACAGAACTAGAACAGAACTAGATTTCGAAAACCAACTCTTAGGGGGCTAAATGGTTCAATAGGCTCAAATCTATTTATACCGTATACCACTTTAGTGGGGAGGGTATATTGGGTTTGTGCTGATGTTTGTAACGCTCAATAATATTGGCCATATTATAGGCCCACCTTTAAGTATACCAATCGACTTAGAATCATTTTCTGAGTCGATTTAGCTATGTCCGTCCGTTCGTCTGTCTGTCCTTGTAATCAACCAGGTCGCAATTTTGAAGATGATTCAATGAAATTTGGTACATGATCTTCTATTGTGCCAGGAACGAAGCCTATTGAAAATGGTTAAAATCGGCCTAGCCCCCATACAACTGAACCCATAGCCCCCATACAACTGAACCCCTGAATAGGGCTTTCAAACTACAAGTCACAATTTTGATGATAATTCAATGAAATTTGACACATGATCTTCTATGGTACCGGAGACGAAGCCTATTGAAAATGGTTAACATCGGTCCATTATTTCACTATACTCGTATCTCGACAAAAAGCTGCAAAACCAAGCTCTATACTAGCCTTTATGACTCTATGACTCTAATAATTATAGGTCTCATTTGATCATAGCCCCTATTCAAAGCCCCCTTCAAAATTTGACTTAAATGTCCACAATTTTTATTCAACAATAAATGGCTTAAGTATATCTGAGGCAAGGTACAATTCAGCCTAATATAAACATATGTACATATATACATATGTATGTACATCATTTTATCATTCAGACCACCTAAAAAAATAATTAAATTAATAAAATACACAAATGTTTTTTTTTTTTAATATTTTTATTTTATTTTTATGTTTTATATTTTTATTGTTGTAATACAAACATTTCAATCAAAATTATGCATGAAAATGACAATCGGTGCATCGGTGTGTATGTGTGTGCTTAAAGTACATAAAACAACATAATCCCGGTGATTTTGATTTGTATTTAAACTTAAAAATATAATGTTTTTTCTTTGTTTTTTTTTTTATCTTTCAATTTTGTTTAACTATAACTAAAACTTACAAAAACAAAACTATAAAAAAGTTACAATTACTACAGTTTAAATTGCGCTTAGTACTTGTGAATAAAAAAATTTAAACAAAACGTACATTTTTGTTTTAAATTTGTTCTCTTTTTTGTGAATTCTTGTTTTTTGTTTCAATAAAAAATAAAATAAACAAAAAAAATAAAAATTGGCCTTAAAAACTACATTAAATTATTAATAATAAAGTATAACCCCCTGATTTTTAAATAAATTTTAAAAAATATGACTTTTGTATAAAAATTAAATGAACAACCTCCCATGACAATTTGTTTTTTTTTATATTTTTGAGTCCTGTGACACCTACTTGAACCTAAGCTAACATCGATTTTTTCGACATATTTTCATTTTCATCGAGTTTTGTGCTTTCGGTGGAGGAAGATTCTGCTTCATCTTCATCGTGCAAGGACTCAGTTTCAGGATCAGGAACTTCGGGAATGTGACAGTTCATGTGACCTTCATGTGTTAAGTGCATATCTTGCACAGAAGGATGGGTACCATCACCGTATTTTTCCAAAGTACGTTTCACCAAATCCTTAGAAGGCTGTTTCATGTCCCAGGCCCAACCGATTTTGGCGAAAGCATCAAGAACCATGGTTGTGAAATTGAAAAGATATTGGCCCAATTCAGCTGCTTTGTAATCCCAGGGGAAGACATGATGATAGTTGTGCCAACCTTCACCCATGGCAATGATCGATACATAGACATTTTCACTAGGGTTAATGCGCCTAAGAAAGAAAAGAGTGAAATATTAATATTTAAATTAAAAGTTAAATAAAAAACGCTATACTTACTTATCGAATGGACGTGTACCCCACATATGAGCAGCACTGTTAACCGACCAGGTGAAATTCAATGAGGAAATATAACGGAATACACACTGAGTCATAAAAGCCAAATGGAATTCTTCATTCCAGAAATAAATGGGTATAGCGGTGGGCAAAATGAAACAGAAGATCAGTTTCAAAGGAATGAAATATTTCTCATGGAAACGTATAACAGGATCAGCCAATATATCACCCATATCGATTTGACGACCACGACGCAATACCTCGGGATGTTTGTGCATCATTAACCAGCCGACATGAGAGAAAAAGAAGCCACGATTCGAGTTGTGAGGATCAGCATCAGTTTCCGAATATTTATGATGGACACGATGATCACGTACCCAATCGTATAAAGAATTCTAAAAATAGTGAAATAATTACAAAAATTATAAACTAAATTATAATGATTTTAATAGGATTTAAATAAACACTTTTGCAACATCATTGCTGTCTAGTAAATGTTTATATTCAAATATAAAAAATTAAATAACATTCACTTAAAATTTCAACAACTCATTTATTGATCAGCGTAAAAACGTGTGTTGCAATTTTGTTTTTTTTATACAAATAAATTGTCATGTAACATTTTGTTATTTGTTTTTCAGCGCAAAATAAATATCAACAGAAAAATTTCAAAAGTATTCATTAAACTTTTGCAAGCTTTATCAGCAGAGTTTTTATAAGATCGCCCTTAGATCATCAAACATTTTTACTTTATATCTACATATTAGAGATTTTGCAATACTTTGTTGACAAAATTAATTAAGCAGCAAATTGTTAATGAAGTTTTTTTTTTCTGATCATACATAAATTAAGAAAATCAGCGGGTTGTTTGTATAACACTAAACGTTTTCAAAATCAACGAATATTCGTTTAAAAAGGGAATTACCCAAGTTTTTTGTTTACATTTTGCAATACATACATACTTATATACATATGTATGTATTCGCCTTTAGCATAATTAACCGTAATGTTAGGTAATGGAAAAAGTATTTTCGCTATTTTGGCTGAAGCTCAAAAGATGGGTAACAATGTTATTGATTTAATAACAGAGATTTTCCTATGATTTCCAATATTGAGTATTAAGATCTCGAATCAAGGAGGTTGTAGAACCAATTTGAAAAAGTTCATATAATTTGGGGAAAAAGGTAGGTTAGTTGGTAGTGCCGTAGTCTGCCAGTACGGAGGATTTTTTGGTGCATCGATTCCCACCAGGTACTTAGGTGAAGGAGCGAATAACAGAACCGAGACATAGTAGATGTAACATACTTCGTACTTTCAAGCTAACAAACAAACAAACAAACAAACAAACTAACTAAAAAACGAACGAATAACGAAACGAACAAACGAACGAAAACGAAACGAACGAGACGAACGAAACGAACGAACGAACGAACGAACGAACGAACGAACGAACGAACGACGAACGAACGAACGAACGAACGAACGAAACGAACGAACGAACGAACGAACGAACGAACGAACGAACGAACGAACGAACGAACGAACGAACGAACGAACGAACGAACGAACGAACGAAGAACGAACGAACGAACGAACGAAACGAACGAACGAACGAACGAACGAACGAACGAACGAACGAACGAACGAACGAACGAACGAACGAACGAACGAACGAACGAACGAACGAACGAACGAACGAACGAACGAACGAACGAACGAACGAACGAACGAAGAAACGAACGAACGAACGAACGAACGAACGAACGAACGAACGAACGAACGAACGAACGAACGAACGAACGAACGAACGAACGAACGAACGACGAACGAACGAACGAAGAACGAACGAACGAAACGAACGAACGAACGAACGAACGAACGAACGAACGAACGAACGACGAACGAACGAACGAACGAACGAACACGAACGAACGAACGAACGAACGAACGAACGAACGAACGAACGAACGAACGAACGAACGAACGAACGAACGAACGAAACGAACGAACGAAAACGAAAACGAACGAACGAACGAACAAAGAACGAACGAACGAACGAACGAACGAAGAACGAACGAACGAACGAACGAACGAACGAACGAACGAACGAACGAACGAACGAAGAAAGAACGAACGAACGAACGAACGAACGAACGAACGAACGAACGAACGAACGAACGAACGAACGAACGAAGAACGAACGAACGAACGAACGAACGAACGAACGAACGAACGAACGAACGAACGAAACGAACGAAAACGAACGAACGAACGAAACGAACGAAACGAAGAACGAACGAACGAAAGAACGAACGTAACGAACGAACGAACGAACGAACACTGAACGAACGAACGAAACGAACTAAACGAACGAACGAACGAACGAACGAACGAACGAAAGAACGAACGAACGAACAACGAACGAACGAACTAACTAACGAAAGAACGAACGAACGAACGAACGAACGAACGAACGAACGAACGAACTAACGAACGAACGAACGAACGAACGAACGAACGAACGAACAACGAACGAACGAACGAACGACTAACGAACGAACGAACGAACGAACGAACGAAAACGAACGAACGAACGAACGAACGAACGAACGAACGAACGAACGAACGAACGAACGAACGAACGAACGAACGAACGAACGCACGAACGAACGAACGAACGAACGAACGAACGACGAACGAACGAACGAACGAAGAACGAACGAACGAACGAACGAACGAAGAACGAACGACCGAACGAACGACACGAACGAAGCGAACGAACGAACGAACGAACGAACTGAATCGAACGAACGAACGAACGAACGAAACGAACGAACGAACTGAAACGAACGAACGATACGAAACGAACGAACGAACGAACGAACGAGAGAACGAACGAACGAACTGAACGAACGAACGACGAACGAACGAACGAAACGAACGAAGAACGAACGAACGAACGAACGAACGTAACGAACGAACGAACGAAAACAGAACGAACGAACGAACGAACGAATAACTAACTAACAACTAACCTAACTAACTAACTAACTTAACTAACTAACTTACTAACTAACTAACTAAATAACTACTAACGAACTAACTAACTAACGAACTAACTAACTAACTAACCAACTAACTAACTTACCTACATTACTTAGAAGTATTCTATAAAAGAATAAACCCTTTTAAATAGACTTGATTATTTAATTCCTTATTTGTAAGCGAGGGTCATGATAACTTATTTAGCCTTTTACATATTCGTAAGCAAACGCGGTAAGTACTTGCCTACTGTGCCATCATCGTGTCATTATAAGTTAAAATGCCAAAAATATGAATCATCAACAAAGAGTCAGTTCAAGACAGTCCGAGAAAAGAAAAACAAATGATCGTACATCTGATCGTTACCCCCCTTAACCAGATATCTTCTTTAAGTGTTAAGTTATATTTTCTGATTAAAAAATATATAGATTCTCATTACCTCATTCCATATAACAAAAGGCAGGATTTGTCAGAAAGTTCTAAAATTTCTTCGAGGCATTTTTCTATGCCGTCGAGAAATTTTTGATCTCTTATGAGTCATTCTCGTGGGAGATCTTTAAGTCGATTTTCTAACCTATTACTTAGGTTGCAAAAGTTGCGAAAATATACTACTTTTTTATATTTTTTAATATTCTCAAACGCTTTGAATTAAACTAAGAAATAATTTACAAAAATCGACTTTAACACTTACCTGACCAGCTGCTGAAAAGCATATCATTAATATACTACGTAATGGTAAATTGGCTTTAAAGGATCGATGAGTCCAGAAACGATGGGCACCGCCTGTGACACCAAAACCAGCCACGCCACCCATAAAGAGTGCTAAAATAGAAACATGAAAAATAAAATTAACAAATTGTTATACAATAAAATAATACTAAATTATAGAAAATAATAAACAATTTGTGAAAAATTAGCTTTATTTTAACTTTAACTATAGTTTAAACTTATCCTATTTTACTTTTTTTGATACTAAGTTAGTTAACTATGACTACATTTATTAATAAAATATTTAGTTTTAATTATACTTATTAACTTCTATATTGCATAGGTTTTGAATTTCTAAATACAGATTTTATAAAAATTCCATTAAAAATAAAATTTACACTTGTCTATTTATCCAATATACAAGTACTATTTCAACGTGAGCAAAAAAAACACATCGTGACTTTTCGCAATTATTACGTGTTTCTACCGGAAATTTTCAGTTGAAAATAAAACCTTGAAATCATTAAATCTCTTCAAAATTTTATTAAAAAAAACAAAACTAACTTAAATTCTTTTAAAAAACAAACAAAAATTTCTTATTTGGATATTCATGGTTAAGAGCAGAAATACCCGAATGAATCATCGCACTCCACAGCAACACCAAATAACATGATCACTTAAGCAACGTCATATGTTTTATAAATTAATTTAAAATTTATATTTTATAATAATTTTCAATTTAACTACGAAATGACAACAGGTCTATTATATGCTAAAACTATGGAATTTTTTTTTAATTTAAAGTTGTAAACAAAATTAATTCAAATCAAAACAAGATCAACTATTATGGTGATTTTTATAATTGATAGGAGAAAATGGAAAATAAACCTTGAAATTGATGTCTTAATTTTTTTTACTATTTATACATATAATCAAACTGCATATTAATCATGTTTACAGCAAATTAAAGTTCAACCTATTTAAAAGTTTCCAAGATCGAAATGAAAATAATGAATTTATAGTTTAAAGGTTCTGTATATTCTGTATAGGTACTTCACCTTTATCGTGTTTGTTTTTCGACTGAATCAGAAAATGTGTATTATTTAATTATATGTATAGATTCTAGTCTATACCTATAACTAGACTATATATACATAACTCTAGACTACAGTCTAGTCTATAGTTTAGTTTATAGTCTATAGTTTAGTTTATAGTTTATAGTCTAGTCTATAGTCTAGTCTAGTCATACATATAGTCTAGTCTAGTCTATAGTCTAGTCTATATTCTAGTCTATAGTCTAGTCTATAGTCTAGTCTATAGTCTAGTCTATAGTCTAGTCTATATTCTAGTCTATAGTCTAGTCTATAGTCTAGTCTATAGTCTAGTCTATAGTCTAGTCTATAGTCTAGTCTATAGTCTAGTCTATAGTCTAGTCTATAGTCTAGTCTATAGTCTAGTCTATAGTCTAGTCTATAGTCTAGTCTATAGTCTAGTCTATAGTCTAGTCTATAGTCTAGTCTATAGTCTAGTCTATAGTCTAGTCTATAGTCTAGTCTATAGTCTAGTCTATAGTCTAGTCTATAGTCTAGTCTATAGTCTAGTCTATAGTCTAGTCTATAGTCTAGTCTATAGTCTAGTCTATAGTCTAGTCTATAGTCTAGTCTATAGTCTAGTCTATAGTCTAGTCTATAGTCTAGTCTATAGTCTAGTCTATAGTCTAGTCTATAGTCTAGTCTATAGTCTAGTCTATAGTCTAGTCTATAGTCTAGTCTATAGTCTAGTCTATAGTCTAGTCTATAGTCTAGTCTATAGTCTAGTCTATAGTCTAGTCTATAGTCTATTCTATATTCTAGTCTATAGTCTAGTCTATAGTCTAGTCTATAGTCTATTCTATATTCTAGTCTATAGTCTAGTCTATAGTCTAGTCTATAGTCTATAGTCTAGTCTATAGTCTAGTCTATAGTCTATTCTATATTCTAGTCTATATTCTAGTCTATAGTCTAGTCTATAGTCTAGTCTATAGTCTAGTCTATAGTCTAGTCTATAGTCTAGTCTATAGTCTAGTCTATAGTCTAGTCTATAGTCTAGTCTATAGTCTAGTCTATAGTCTAGTCTATAGTCTAGTCTATAGTCTAGTTTATAGTCTAGTCTATAGTCTAGTCTATAGTCTAGTCTATAGTCTAGTCTATAGTCTAGTCTATAGTCTAGTATAGTCTAGTCTATAGTCTAGTCTATAGTCTAGTCTATAGTCTAGTCTATAGTCTAGTCTATAGTCTAGTCTATAGTCTAGTCTATAGTCTAGTCTATAGTCTAGTCTATAGTATAGTCTATAGTCTAGTCTATAGTCTCTATAGTCTAGTCTATAGTCTAGTCTATAGTCTAGTCTATAGTCTAGTCTATAGTCTAGTCTATAGTCTAGTCTATAGTCTAGTCTATAGTCTAGTCTATAGTCTAGTCTATAGTCTAGTCAGTCGTCTATAGTCTAGTCTATAGTCTAGTCTATAGTCTAGTCTATAGTCTAGTCTATAGTCTAGTCTATAGTCTAGTCTATAGTCTAGTCTATAGTCTAGTCTATAGTCTAGTCTATAGTCTAGTCTATAGTCTAGTCTATAGTCTAGTCTATAGTCTAGTCTATAGTCTAGTCTATAGTCTAGTCTATAGTCTAGTCTATAGTCTAGTCTATAGTCTAGTCTATAGTCTAGTCTATAGTCTAGTCTATAGTCTAGTCTATAGTCTAGTCTATAGTCTAGTCTATAGTCTAGTCTATAGTCTAGTCTATAGTCTAGTCTATAGTCTAGTCTATAGTCTAGTCTATAGTCTAGTCTATAGTCTAGTCTATAGTCTAGTCTATAGTCTAGTCTATAGTCTAGTCTATAGTCTAGTCTATAGTCTAGTCTATAGTCTAGTCTATAGTCTAGTCTATAGTCTAGTCTATAGTCTAGTCTATAGTCTAGTCTATAGTCTAGTCTATAGTCTAGTCTATAGTCTAGTCTATAGTCTAGTCTATAGTCTAGTCTATAGTCTAGTCTATAGTCTAGTCTATAGTCTAGTCTATAGTCTAGTCTATAGTCTAGTCTATAGTCTAGTCTATAGTCTAGTCTATAGTCTAGTCTATAGTCTAGTCTATAGTCTAGTCTATAGTCTAGTCTAGTCTATAGTCTAGTCTATAGTCTAGTCTATAGTCTAGTCTATAGTCTAGTCTATAGTCTAGTCTGTAGTCTAGTCCGTTTCGACCGTTTTGCCATTCTCACAATAGTTTTATTTCAAAATTGAGCGTTTCTTTTCTCTCTTTCTTTCTCTCTTTGGTAATATAAATGTTGGATAGCTATTGATAATGAAGGGGTGTCGGAGTATTTTATAGTCTCCACCAGTCAAAGCATAACCTCACTTAGAGGTAAAAAGAATGCAGATAATGCACTACACTAGTGCGAGTTAGCCGCAAAACTATCGAAAGCTAAGCAACACTTATAGGCTTGACAGCGTTTTAAGGATAGCGACCATAACGAGCAAATTGTTCTTCAACTCAATCCGGAACAGCGAGTGATGGTCATTACATAATAAAATATCATATATTTAACCCAAAACCCATTGTAAAAACCCAACTTTAAATATATTTATTTAAATCACTAAAAGAAATTCCTGTAATTAAGGCCGCTCCCCTTATAAATAAATAATGGGGACAATTTTTAGATAATAAATTTTGGGCATTAAAATGATTTAACGATCTTCATTTCCGTCTGTAAGGTATAAATAAAACAGACATTAAAAAAATTACAAAAAAAAAAACAAAAATTAAAACACCTTGAAATTCATTAAAAGTTACATAAAGTAAATAAAATTTTAGAAAAAAAAGTTTTTTTTTATTTCATCATACTTAAAAGAAGCTTAAGCCATAAAAACAATTAAAGTGTCTACCAAGACACTAATTTGGCAATAGTTTTTTAAAAAAAATCCCGCAAACTGATTCATCAAAAAAGTAATAATTGCTGCTTAGCACGTTTTTATTTTAATTCACACTTCTTTTTTTTAATATTTAAATTTAATGCTCCTATTGATAGGTTTGTGAAAAAAATTAAATATTTATTAGCACTTTCAAGAAAAAAAAAAAAATTAAGTCAAAAAATTTTATTTAAAAACTTAATTTTATTAAAAAAAAATTAAATATTTGCATTTGTTAAATATTATAAAAATACACAAAAGAAAAGAATATTTTAGATATTTAAATATTTGAATGTGGTATGTTTAATATTTAAACAAAAAACCGGGTTGCTAAACAAAATAAATCAATAGATTTTATTTTAGAATTTCTTAAATGTTTAACAGTTTAAACCAGTTTTTAATTTCACCACAAATTTTAAATAAATAACGGTTTCGCTTAAAACAATCTTATAACATTTATGCTAAAATATGTGATTTTTTTTTAATTGATAAATAATTGTTATAGAAGTTATATATTGTTTAAAGAGATTTATTTGTAATGAGCCTTAAATGTACTTTAATTAAATATGTAATTACTTTTTAATTAATAATTTACTTTAGCTTACATTTATCTGTTAAATAATGAATGATTTATTATTTCTATTGTTATAATTTCAAGAATTATTAAGTGTTTATTAAATGTCTATTGCGAAACAATGTAAATTTTATTAGGATATATAATCAGTTACAAAAATAATTAAACTTAAGTTAAGCAAACGTAAGAAAAATATTAATTGACTTTTTGTTAATTCTTTAGGTTAAAAAAACTAAAATCAAAAGTATGGCGTACATTCTGGTACAACAATAGACTTCATATTAAGTACATATTGTATGTGCACAATAAGTATTATAACAATCACTCCAAAAAAAGGGGCGGTTATTTCATGACCATGCCCACTTAGTATATTAATGCTAATTTGGTATTTAAGGTAAAAATTAAATAAAATACTTTATTCTAAAAAAAAATAATCAATATTTTTAACATAATCACTGATATAGGGTATCATATGGTCGACCATGTCCGTTTATAAATTCTCACTTGTTTTGTTAATAATTTAGTAAAACCGTTTAACATTGTATAGTTATATACAATTTTAATGATTATAGCTGATTATTTTAAACATTATAGTATATTT